GTATGGTGGTTTTACAGGATATTATATTGACAGTCTTTAGCAGCATTCCACGTCTCCAAATGGTGTCATATGCCGCAGAAAGATCCATGAATGCGGCTCCTCTTTTAAGACGGTGTTGAAATCCGGCTTCAATATTGGTGGTGAGGGCCAGAACATGGTCGCCGCAATTTCGACCAGGTCGGAAACCGATTTGCTCTTTAGGCAAAGCGGCCTCGACCAGTGGCTAGTTTCTGGCCATAATCGCCCGTTCCATGAGCTTATTTATTGTACTCATCAAGGATATTGGGTGGAAATTGGCTGGTTGTTTGTTGGGGTAGGTGATGGCAACCTAAATGCAATCCACCCTAAGTGGTCATTGACCGCAACAGATGCCATCAAACCGGAATCCGAACGCCGCTTTGCGGAGTCCTGGACGGAATTGAAACGCAACTATATAAGGCCCGTTTTAGGGCCTGGGTGGAGGTGAATGTGATAGTGGGCCCATGCCTGCGAATTTACCAATTAATATCTATAACTGAATAACTGTGCCGTCGGGGGAAATATGTAGCTCTCACACGAAGCTCATCGACCCCCACGCAGATAATTTCGGGAATATTGAGGATGACACCAACTCCCTGGCTTCCCGTTTTAGCTCACTTCCACCCGCCAAACATTCACCGACAAACACAGGCCCTAAACGAGTACCATCGCATCGAACGCAATCATGAACTACCGATCCACAACGAACTGACCCATCCGCCCAACCCACGACTGAAATTCAGAAACCCGTTATGGCTCACTGGACAAATCTCTTGCCGAATCCTGCGAAACCGCTGAAGACAAATGGCGTGAATCAGGGTCAAATGCGAGTCTACTGAACAAACAATCTCGAACTTTCCATCCAACCACCCGGCTTCGCCCTACGATGCAAGACTTGGACTTCCATGAATAGACTTCGAACATCCTACATACGACCGATGCAATTATCTCCTCCCAAAATAGAGATGAAAGATGATCCAAGCTGCGTCTGTGGCTCCAGTCAACAGACCCTGGACTATCTCACCCATTCCTGTTCGAAAAGACCCATTCCCGGAATTATCACAGAAGTCCCCAAAGCTTCCCCAGAAGCCATTTATTGGATATTCAACCTGGACTTAAAGATTTAACGATGTTGCTCTCCGGATAACGGTACGAAAGAAGATCCAATAATTTCAATACTTCTTGACACTCCCATTCCAACTGTGTTCACAGCAGCATCTACTTTCTGTATGTCAGAATATCGAGTCCCTCTCATGGGATCCTTGAGAAGGGATCAATCAAAATCACAGGGGGAAAGATCAGGACTGTAGGGTGGATTATCCTTCCCACTCATATTTCTCTCCAACAATTCCGAGACTAGATGGCAGTATGACAACTGGCCTCATCATGCAGAATGATTACGCCAGCCTCCAACAGACCAGGTCTCTTTTTTCTGGATTTCTGGATGAAGTTGCACCCTTGCAGGGCTTGCGTGAACGCGCAAATTGTGTCCTATAGGCACAAAATTCCGAATGGACTCACGACGGAAAAACATCGGGCTCCCAGGGGCGCGCGGGGAATTTCTCAGATTTTCTGACCGGTTTTCATAATTGTTGGCAGTTGCCTCTTAGAACCGTGCCTAAATAAACCTGTGTGCAACATTATTAGTGGCAGGAAGGGAGGGGCGAAGCGAAGTCCTTGCCAAGGAAGGTGCGCGACGTGAAAGTGATGAGCGCAGCGCAGGTCGCATTGTGTTCACGCGCTCATGACGTAATTCCGTTCGTTCCAATTAAGGCTTCAGGGCGGTCGGGGCCAACACTCTTCTCGTTCAGTTCCAAGCGGAAAATGTACGATGCAAGTTTAGTCGAATCGCACGTTGCCATACGTTCAGGAACACCTGAACGTAGAGATAGTGCCAAATTACGTAATATGATTTTAAAAACTTTTTTGACCCCCCCTCCCCCCTGTGACACTAGAAGCTTCGACCCCCCCCCCCCCCAAAAAAAAAAAATAATAAATTAGGTGACAAANAGCTCCCCCCCCCCCCCCCCCCAAAAAAAAAAAAATAATAAATTAGGTGACAAAGTATGACCCCCCCTCCATAATTTTTTTAATGAGATAAATAAACGTAAAATGCATTTGAAAAAGAAACTCATTATTAAACACACATTGAAAGATGAAAGTTTTTCTTTCATTCGGTTCCTTCTTTAAGGAAATAATTTCCTTTGTCTATGTTCATTTTGATTGATGGTGATCACCCATTTGAGATTTAAAAATAGAGTAAAAGGAGACGGGGAAATGTAGGGTAGAATGGTGGAAATAGAGATCGCGATGCAGAGAGACGAACGAGGGCAACGTCCAAAGAGTAACTGAGCCTATTTGGCCTCTCTGTGCAGGTCCAGGCATGAAACTGCGACTTAGCAAGTTTTGCAGCACGGGAGAGGGAAGTCAACAGACGTTCCCACGCTCCCAATGCCCGCTCCACTGTTAGTAAAGGTAGTGGCTGCGGGTAGGTAGTAGGGTTGGCTCTTGTAACGTGTGTGATTGGTTACTAAACAATTACCCTTCTAATAAGAAATTCCAGTCGCATAATTTACTTTTTCATAATGAAAACAACCATTTACGTGACATTCGTGCAACCCCCCCTCCCCCCGTAACAAATCGTAACACTTTGTCTGATCCCCCCTTCCCCCCTTGCGTAACGTAATTTGTGAACGGCCCCTATCAACAGCGTAGGTCTAAATTCTTAACGAAGGTGATGTCTTTGTTTCACTTAATGTGCATAGAGAAGGGAAAAATCGCCATAGGCAGTGGCGTAGCCAGGTTTTCATCAATGGGGAGGCTAACTTCTCGTCGGGGTGGGGCGGGCGCATTTCGACCAGAGTTGGGGGGCTTGAACCAAACTTGGGGGGGCTAAAGTTCCCCCCCCCCCCCAGCCCCCCTCTCGCTACGCCACTGGCCATAGGCCTTGACCTAGTCAAACCGAAGGGAGAGAGATGGACGTGGGCGTTGATGAAATGGCAGCTTGTGAACCATGAATCATAACGAAGGAGAAAATATTTAAAAAATGGGAAAAGGAGTGGGTCAACATGTATCCCTGGCTTTCCTATAGAGATGGAAGAGCTTCCTGTGATTTCTGCTCAAATGCAATTAAGAAAAATCCCTACTCAGCATCTGGCAGTTGTAATTTGCAGAAGTTGGAAATTTTGCAAATTTGAAGATGCCCTAGGGATATTTGAGAGAAAATGTTTGAAGTAGTCCTAAGGCTGCTAGATTGAATATCATGCTGTTTGGTTATGTTAAATCAAAGAAAAAACATTGACTGAGGGACTTAAACTTTTTGTGCAACTTTGCAAGATTTCATGTGTCACTTGCAAAGGGACCCCCAAATTTTCCAGAGGAACCCTTTCTTACCAGACGTGAGAGTCCTGGGGACCCTTAAGGCAAGAAAGTTAGTGCAATCCCTGCCCATGAGATCAAATGCCAAAAGTAGCATTTTTTTCCCTTTGAATTGCTTGGCTCAATTATGACATGGTTTAATACACTTTTTTGTCATTCCACCATTAATTGCTTGAATTTCTTAAAATGTTGGTATGAAGGAAGGAGAGAATGACTATTTCAAAAGTGAATCAGTTCACCACCAAATGTCTTCATTCCATGAAGCATGACTTAGTTACAAAAATTTTTGAATGACCCTTGCATTGCTTGTCCTAATAGAACAACAACATTTGGAAACAGATTCTCAAATGTAGCAGGAACTCCTTTGTAGTTCTATTCATTTTTTCTCCACAACTTAAAATAAAAATCCTCTGCTCCTTATTTAGGTGCCTCTTCATTCTTTATGGACTCTGTAGGGTAAAACCATCTACGTTCAGACACTGTTGCAAACATTGTTAAAAAACTAAGCATTCGTGAGGCTGTCTTCAGAAACAGTTCTTCCTAACATGAGATGAACACGTTACTGAGCGAAGGACATGTGGTGGCCATGTTAGCTTTTCACGATTCCAAGGTATTGAGTTGCAGTGAATGCTATATCACAAACAGGGGGAATCCTTCAAGAAATCATGTGTAGAGAACCTTACTTTTAAAATGCTTCATGCATGAAATTCTTTTCTGTGCTCAATTTGTACTTGCCAGGAATCTAGGGGGACATGGAATCCTGTTATGTAGAGTGCTAGTGCCTTGATCAGATTACTGCCTTACTTCGGTGTGTCCGAACTTATGCAACACCCTGTTGATCATGAGCCCAAAAACTTAAATGCTAAACAAAATTTTGATTGACATCAATATCTTATTCCTTTGTTCCAGGACATGGCCATGAAGAAAAACAAACTACCTGATCCTATGCTATTGAGAATTTAGAATTAGATCCATGTGCAGCATTAATATAAGAGATGTGTTTATTGATTATAAATGTTCTTTGAACAGTTAGTTCTTTTTTAAATTTAAAAGTTAAATCTCAAATTAAATTAAATTAACTATTAAATACCAAATCTCAAATGCTATTAATAATATTATATATTATAATATTAAGTATATTATTAAGTATATTATAAATATAATATAATTAAATATATAATTACAATATATAATATTAATAATAACAATGCTATTAATTTGCAGCTACAACTATTTTGCATAGATGAGGTATAGAAGGTGCTGCTTATAAATCCTTATGCTTGCCCTACAAGATTTGGGTCTTAGGTGGATTGGATGCCCACCTCATATTCTTTGCACCTTGGCATTTTCTTTCACCCTCACATTCTGTGTACCAATTGCCTGTCACAAAGTAAATATTGAAAATATTGATATAAGCATCATAAGCTAGAACTGGCTTAATGTGCTATTTGTTATGATATCATAGATAAGAGCAGTTGAGCCTGTAATTATTGATGGTCAATTAGATGGTGAAGGTTATTGTCCTACCAGAGTTTCTGGTGAGTGCTTCCTCTGTGTCCTTGAGCTATCATTTTATTATAACTTTAATGCTGATTTTCTTTTTTTTTGTTAGTTATGAGTGAAATGAACTTGTCAAAATGAATGTGGAAGTCATTGATTTGGAAACTTCAGAATCAGCTGAATCAGATGTAAGTGTGGAATATATTTATAGCTGTACATCCTAGTCTACATTTGAAAAATTCCTGCAGATTTGATGAAAAATGTCATCAATGTCAATGTAACCTTGAATATGATGATAGAGCTAAATTGAAATTGCAGCTTGAGCCTCAGCAGCACCAGAAAAATGAGAAGAGGGGGCTTCGTCTGCCACAGCCCGAGAGCAGGAGAGGGCAGCATTCACCATCATTTCACCTACAGCAGAATAAAGGGAGATTGAGAGTCTCACATTGCCAGACTCAGCTGCAGGAAGGAATTAAATTTCTGAGGAAACCAAAACAGCCCAGGAGTGAAAGGTGGGGAGAATCTCATCCATTACCACAGCTGCAGCAGAGGAGTGATAGATGGATGGAACCCCATCCACAGCCTCAGGTACAGCAGAGAACAGAGAGGTTGAAAAGGTCACATCTGCAACTTCAGCAAAAGGAGAAATCTGAAAGTTGCAAGGAGGTACATCCACAGCCTCACCCTCAGCACAAAAGTGAGAGAAGAAGGAAGAGGGAAAGTTCCTGCTCAAGGGAGAGTGCTCCTATCAGAAAGAAGACTAAGAAGGAAGTGAAGGTCAAGAGAAAGGGTGAGGTAGTGCAGCAGGCATCACATGCATATGCTGGAGCAGATTTCATTGCCAATGTAAGTGTTGATTCTCATTAAAGCAACCTTTGAATTTTTGTTCATGTATCTGTATTCCTTTTTTTTTTTTTAGCATGGGAATGCACAATCATTGAAAACACTCTAGGTTTGCCTATTACATCTGAAGTTAGATTTTTTAAACTTTTTTGTTCTTGAACAAGTATTTCCCATCTTGGATTCTTGATGAATAGGTTGGTTTGGAGTGGAATAATATTGAAGACATCATCTCCCAACAACTAAGCTTGGAAAAGGATGTGGTCTGCAATGTTGTTAAACTTCTGGATGAAGAGAACACAGTGCCCTTTATTACAAGGTACAGGAAGGAACAAACCAAGGGAATGGAAGCAGATAGATTGCATCAGATTGAAGAGGCTGTCATCAAGCTCAAGTGTGTTAATTCTTGGTTTTTCTTGTTTCTAAATATGCAGGGTGTATCAGAATATGAAGTCCAGTCAGAAAGTTTGCAAAATTGCTGCATTACATGCAACAACTCTAACCCGTGAGCTTCAAATGTGAATCACCTTCAAAGTATTCTCCATCCACATCAGTGCAGTGTTGCCAGCAATTGTGCAGCTGTCCCTGTCTGGGAATGTCAGGAATGGGACTGGGATCTCAGCATGGTGAGAGTGGGATAAAAAAAATCTGGAGAAATAATTAAGGGAATTTATGGGAATAGAAGCATCTAGGAGTGGTGGAGTGGCAGAAACAATAGGAAATTTTCAAGTTTTCCCTCCTGGAGGGTGATAATATGTTTCCTTAAAGTTATGCATTCCATCAATCCTTGTGGCACATGCTGAACTTCATAAATAGGCAGCAAAACATTCCCTATGCTGCATTTGAATATGAACACTGTATAGTTAATATATGTGATGTGTTTAATCATATTTGCTTCATTATGTGTTAAATCCTTCTAGGGCTATGAGAGAGAGAGCAAGAAGCATAAGTGAAGCCATTAACTCCCAGGGGAAACTGACTGCATCTTTAAAAGAGGCAATACAATCAGCACAATCCATGTCAGAGTTGGAGCACCTGGTAAGCCTTTGCCAGATAGGGACACTACCCACCGAGAGCTTAGCTGACAATTAGATTAACATGATTCCTGATGCGAAACTTGAGGACAAGGGAGCTTGCCCAGTTCCTGTGGGAAGCAAGTTGCCTAGATTAATGTATTTTGCTATGAAAATGGGTATACCTATGGGCCATAATATTAGTCTCATACAATAGTATGTGAATAAAATATATAACTTAGCCTTTTAGTGGCTCTCCAGTGAACAACAAGAAGATCAATGCTGGATGGGTTCCTCCAGATGATAATCAACCAATGGTATGCTGCCAAACTCAGTTCTCCCCAAAGACGGTGATTGTTGCTGCCATGTCTTTCATTGGCAAGGTGCATGTGGAACATGTGGAAAAGGGACAATCCATCAACAGTGATGCCTACATTCATTTTCTGCAGACAGTCTTCCATAATTTCAGCAGACATCATGATCCTCTCCAATCTGAGGACATTTTGCTCATTCCTGATATTGCTCATGTGCTTGTCAGTCAGGCTGTTTGTCACTTTTTTAAGATCCTAATGGGTCTCTGTCATTCACCAGCCACCCTATTTGCCCGACACCAATGCTCTTGACAGATTTGCTTTCAGAGCTGTTGAAGAGAAGCACCAGCAACACAGTTTCTCTTGTTCTAAGGATGTGGAAGATCACATGACAGATGAGCTGAAGTCATTTTCTTCAAGTTGCCTTCAGAGGGAGTTCCATGTGCTGCTGCAGGATTTGCAGGAAATCATTAATAGAGGGGGTGACTATCTGCATTGTGTTATGGTTACATGGAAATATAATTTCCCGTTCACCAAAAAAACTGAAATGAAATTATTTACAGAGTGAACCTTGTATTTCCTGATTTTACTTTAAAAGTTTAATTTTTTTAAAGAAGTTCAGGATATCTTTAAAATATTTTCTTTATGCTTGTAGTACCTACCGTACAAACCAGGGAAGAAGTCATCTCTGGCTGAAAGAGCACGAGAGTTACCTGGCATGGAAGGAGCTGCTATTCATTTCTTGGAAGGAAAGAGCCCTGCTATTGCTTATTCTCAGCTTGTTGACCAGGGAACTCTGGGGAAAAGCTCAGAAGCTGAAGTGGAAACTGCTCTCCAGCACATTATAGCTGATGTCATCTGCAAAGAGCCTCTCATCCTTCAGCTTATTCGACCTATGTCTGTTGCATTCTTCAGAGATTCATGCATTCTTCTTGTGTGATGAGATTGATGATTGTTTTTCTTCCATTTCAGAAGTGATGAAGGATTGCTTAGGGTGGAGGTGAAGAAATCTCGTAAGGCAGAAAAAGCAGAAGAGAAAACTCCAAAGGAAAGAGCAGATATTGAAAAACTGGGCAGATATCATGGTTTCTCCATGCTTGCTCACAAGATTCGACCTCATCAGGTCTGCACTTTTAGACCATTAGACAGAGGCCTTAAGCTTTATATCCTTTAATTTATGTAGATGATTCTGAGTGACTGACTAATGCTAATTCTAACCATGTTCTATGTATGATGGAAAGGTTAAACTTAGTATGTGAATAGCTGTTATGATTGCTGACAAGAAAAAATTAGACTGGAGGGTGTATATATACCCTGAGGGTGTATATTACTAGTATTTCAGGGGGACAATTTCAAATAAATTGTTTCACTTCAACAAAACAGAGAGACATTCAAATATAAACTTGGTGTAGACATGCTTGATGAGATGGTGATTTGGGGTGACTTGGCATGTATCTTAAAAATATGATTTGGGGAAAAATAATACTTTTAAGATTTATCTCCATTGAGCATATATATATATGTATTTTTTATAGTTTCACTGCAGGCAATTGGGCTGATATGAAGTGGTGAAACTTAAAACAATAGCTGTTGTGATCACAAGTTTAGGAAAAATTCAATTTTTTGAGGTGTACACTCTTGGGCTACAAATTTTAGGTGGGAGATTCACCTTAAGGACATTTTCACTCCATTCAAATAGGCAACTATAGAATGCTGAAATTTGGTAAGCATATAGTTCTTTGTATATTGAATTCAGTAAAAATTAAAAATTTTTTTGGAATATGTACCTTCAGGGTCTAATATTTAGGAGGGAGACATATTTTCAGAAATATTTTTCACCCTAATAGGTTTTGATACATTTTGGTACATAGGTACTATTTTGGTACTATTGATATCCCAATTTCAGGAAAAGTCATACTTGTGGATACATTCCCTGGAGAGATACTCTTTATGGGAGACATTTTCCAGGAATTGTTTTGTTCTAGTAAAGCAAGCGTACATAACATTTTGAAATTTCATAAATATGTATTCCCAGGGAAGATTATATCTAGGTGATTCCTATTGAGAACAATTTCCTTGGGACAATAACTATTACATGGGGATGTTTCCAATAAATATTTTTGCTTGAGTGATATGCAGAGATGTAGTGAAAGCTTAGACTTGCAGGAAAGTACCTGTTTGTGGTACCGATTTTATTAAAAAATTATAATTTTAGGATGCATTCTCTGGTGGCATACTTTTTCCAGCAGAAATTATCCAATAAATTCTTTTGTTGCTGAGAAACATTGAGATGTAGAGAGCTGAAATATCATAAATTCATATTTCACATTAATTTCAAGAAAATTTCTTTTTTAAGGTCCATTCCCTGGGGGTAAAAATTTTTGCGTGGGGACATTCTCAATAAATTTTTTGGATCCCGTGAATCAGGCAGCAGTAGGAAGCTGAAACATGGTACAGAAGTATCTGATATGCTATGTTTTAGGAAACATTAAACTTTTAGGGTACATCCCCTGGGGTATATATTTACCAGTTTGTGTTAAGTGCTTTTGCTGTAGTAGAATGAGCAAATGTAGAAATGAAAAATTTAGTAAATTTTTTTTTTTTGGAATATTGGGTTCAGGGAAAATTGATGTTCTGGCACCTTTGAGGTCCTTTTTGGGATGGAGGGATGTGTAGCATTTTTACAATTTTTTGTTTAAGGAAATTATTTCTACAGTTGTGCTTTAAAAGGTACTGGATGAAGGAAAATTTTCAAAGGTCATTTTCGGGGGAAACTAAGAATCTCCATTTTTGTAATGTTGTTGACCTCAGGCTGACAAAGACATCACAACAAGAACAAACTTGAAGCCACAATGAAAAATACCTTCCATCAAAGAAGTTTTATCACATTGGTAGGTGTGAGCATGGAAAATGATTGCTTTAAATTGATTAGTAATTTTCTTACATTGTCAAGTGTCTATGGCATGACCATTGCACCATTGAGTTAAATAATATTTATTCTCTTATATTTCCAGACACTGGCAATAAACCGTGGAGAGAAGAGGAATGTGCTGTCTGTGAAAGTTATAGTGCCTGATCATGTGAGGCAGAGTATCACAGAGTTTGTTAAGAATCATTGGCTCAAGAAAGGGGTGCAATATTCCACAAGGACTTCTTTAGTCTTCCAAAGTGCTGAAGATGCATACTCTCGTCTCTGTGAGTCCCTCCCTTTGTCGTTTTGCCTAGGGGAATGTTGCTATGTCATGATCTGCACAACACTGAATCTATATAAGCACAACAATACCAGTCGTTTGGTTAGATCCTTTTCCATGTCTCCCCTCTCCCCCTCAGATGCAAAAAAACTTTAGCACTTCTTGAGTATTTGTTCTTGTTAATGTGCATGGTCTTGTTAGGCATTGTGACCTGCTGTTACCATATTTTTGAATAATCACACATCCAAGATCCTTGAGGCAAAAATGTTAGGAGTTTCTTAATTTTTCTCCTCTGTTACAATGTCCTCACTTGCACCTCATGGAAAAAATGGAGAGATTTGGTTCTATTGCCACTAGATATTGTTGGTATTATTTTGATTGGATATTTTAGGGCTATTTCAGGCTACTTCCATGGCAAACTGATCAGTTGGATAGAGCTAGACCATCTCAAAAGCAAAAAAAATTGAAGAAAAGGTCATTGTAAATAGTTCACAAGAAGCATCACAAAATTGTTTGTCCCTGATCCTAATAGTTCATGAGACATGACTTGTTGCAACTTTTGGTTTATGTGCATATTAACTCTCTCTTGTACTCTTGGAGCATTTTCATAACTGTGGAAGTGCAATAAATTTTGTGGGGAAAAAAATGAAAAGGAAACATTGTCACAACTAATGTTATGCAAATATTTTATGCCAGTTTTGGTCACTGATATTTAATTAATGTCAAAATGAAATCTACCTAGTCACTTCTGGTCATAGCATCATAGACCTCATGATTACTGATCTCAACCAACATTGTGGATGGACCTGTTCATCCCAATATTTTATGCTGCCTTTAAAGCTAGTCAGACTACTCTAAGAAACACTTCCTTTTTTTTTTTTTTTTTTACAAAGACTCAGTTCCAGCATGAGTCAACATTTTTGCTTGGGGAAGAAAGAGACTTGTTTTTTGATGGCCTTTAGATTAGATTCAGTTTTGCATATGCAAGAAACTCAACTTGGCGATTTTTGAAATAATATTTTCAGGTTGACCTCAGATTTGGTTTAGGTTAGTCAGGTAATGTTTGGATTTAGATTTATAATAGACAAGGAACAGATCCTTGTTCTGTGGGGTCTTAATGGAACAAAACAAAATGGAAGTGCAAGGAATTCTTCTCCATTATCAAATTTCCAGAAGATATTATATCATCCTGTTTCATTGCCTGCACATGCTCTTAAATGCAAGCCAAATCTTTTTTTTTGTTATTTTGGTGAACTTTATCCTCAGTGTTTTATTTTTATGGTCAGGTTAAAAGTATGTCATATGAAAGGGCATTTCAAGATCATTTTGGTTTCACTAGTCTTGTTTTTGTGAGATCAAAAGGATAGGACTTTCTTTCTTACAACTTGCTGATTGTTAGCCAAGGCTTTCCGTCATTCAGCAGGGCTACTCCAAGTAAACTTAGGAGCTCAACTCCATGAATTCCTTTATTTCCAAACTCCAGGAGTACCAACAGATGACTGCAACTGCAATCAGATTCCTTTGGCCTTTTTGTTTTGTAGTAATGTTTTCATGAGCTTATTCCCAATGAATTGCAGATGAATCAATGGTGGGTATCAATCAAGAGAATTTTCTCAAAATTATTCCAAGTTTCCCTTGGTTTTCTGAATGAACTGTCCACTTCAAATGTCATATTTGTCATAGTATATCATCTATTAGATCTATTTTGATTTGAGGTAATGGATTTTGGCACCCTGATTGACTTTCAAATAAATGAAGGCATGCTTCATCCATAGCAAATTTTGTGAGACATGACTTAACCCTTTGAACCCTAGCTTCCATACCCGTATCCACCCCCACCATAGGTTCCTGGGCGATATTTTGCAAAATTGGTTCATTTGCTCTAATACAGTATAAACACATTTATTATGGCATTTTTGACCAGAACAATGGTCAGAATGTCTTCCTACCTTATCTCCAGTATTCTACTTTCGTATGGTATACACTGAAGCAATTGTCCTTGCCTGTGCCAATACAGAGAAATACATGACATATGGGACACCAATTAACAGTCTTCTATCGTTTCGGCAAGTCCTGTGATGGGGTCTGTGGATTTGCTGTGACAGCCTTCCAATATTTTTCATTGCAGACAACACACCAATTGTTTGTGGTAGCATGATCAGGCTTTTCTGCAAGGTGTTATGGAACATCTGTATTATTTGCAGCAACACTTGTCGTAATGCTTCTCTAGCACTGCACCTTTTAGCCATGATTTTGGCTGAAAATCAGCACAGAATCTGATTGGAAACTTCATCAGAGAACATACAAGCTTGTGGCTGAACCTCAATGTAAGCCTAATGGTGATTGGTCAAGCTGTTTCCTGGCAACACATTATAGCAACTGCCAGGCTGGTATAGCAGCCTGGCAGATCAGAGCACCTGTTACTCTGGCTAGAAAATCAGCCTGACAGGTTCAAAGGGTTAAGCAATCATTAAATACACTCAAAGTTGTGTTTTTTTTTTTAAATAAAATATGGAATGGGACAGACATACACAGACAAGGACAAGGACAAGAACAAATGACACAAGCAGCAACACAGAGTAGAGGAAAGGGAATTCTAATCAGACATCCATGATGGCATTGTCCCACCTTCCCACACTTCCTGTCATAATGTATTCTGTTTTCACTGGCCTGGAGAAGGTGGTGGCAACTTTGATGCTGCTCCAGCTGCACATCAGGCTGCCAGAGTTGATGTGGCAGGTGCAATTGAGGTGCACCAAGCCCCTACCTCTCACACAATGGAGCACAGAGTGGCCTATGCTTCAGCCCAAGAGAGAGCAGGTAGTACCCAAAAGCAGCTGTGTGAACTGTTGGCCCAGGAGAATACCACCTGCCACTGGTTGGATTTGAACCTGGACCTCCCATGTGTGCCTGAGCCCCTTATCCACTGAGCCACAGTAATGCAGTCACACTCAAAGTTGTTTATCTTTTTTTCATACCTTGCAGACTCCAGGTTGTTGCAAACCAAGGGATATTTTTAAATGAAATGTGTGAAAAGTCTCTGGATATTGGTATTCATTTATTCATCTGCTGTTCATTTGGAATGAAAACCATCTACAAAAGATGACCAACCCAAATTTTAAATTTAAATGTAGGAAAAGTTTGATGTGGTCTTGATGACCAGGAGGTGCTCGAGTGTTTCCTCCTCTCCACTGCCAGCAGGAGCACTTTTCCATTCTCAATGTCTAACTTCTTTCCAATGCTTGCTAATAGTATTGCTATGATCTGGAAAAATTTGGATGAAATTTTGAGACTCAGTGGGAAGCTTACTTATATGCATCATGAAAGCTAAGAGCTAAGATATTTATGTCAAAAGTCATTGTTCCTTCTTTTTTTCCCATACCCTGTATACTTCAACTAAGCACATAATTATATAAGTAGAAGCCCACCTGTCCTGATAATTATTGCATATACTCAGTGGCCCCCCAAAAAAAAGGTAACCAAAGCATCTGAAAAGAAACCACTTGGTTTATTATAGATTTTAAGACATTCCATGTTTTACGTTTACTGAACTGTGCATTTCATACATGGGACCATTGTTTTTAATCATTCTAGGACTTTAAATTGATGGATTCTCTGACTGATGACATTTTGACCATGTCCACTGTTTTGTTGTAAACACAGCTCCTTCCTTCAGATAATGTCATTGACAATATGACTTCAGATGTTCAGCACAATTCCCAAGTTTTCATTCATCATAACTGATTGAATTCTGTGAGAATGCTCCATTTTCATATTGACAGCTCTATCCATGCCCCAGAACTTCAGGATCAGAAGGGTGAAAGGCCTTTGCAAGAGAATGTTTGTGGAGCCAGTCATTTGAAGTGGTCAAAACAGCTGTATTGATTGGTCCACTGTTTCCACCTTCATCATAACTTTTGAAGTAATGTTAGTCAAGTCAAATCCTTCTTTCAATGTTCACTGGGACATATGCATTATAGATTGACGACATTACATTTCAGTTACCTTTTGTCTTGGCCATCTCATAGAACATACAAGTTGCCCAGATATGTCCCATGTATGGATAAGTCCCATGGATCACATACTTTAACCATATATGCTCTTTTATTTTTAACTTCATATCCTCAATTCATGGGAAAAAATGTAAGTACATATGGTACAGATAACTGCATATAACTACCATGCATGATCTTTGCATATGGGAAACTTTGCAAGTATCACAGAAGCTCAAATTATTTAAAATTTTCTTTCTGTGCAATGTAGACTTGTTGTAAATGCTTTCTCCGCATTTGGTTCCAGTAAGGCCTGCCATGAATGAAAATGCTCTCTTATATCTCTTATAAAGACTTGCAGAAAATGAAAAGTTTTGGAGGAAAATAATTAGTCTTGAAAATTTTCCTGTAAAATTGGCTCATGCTGAATTTATGAAATAGAAGTTATTTGTTATGCTTTTAGTGTGTCCATTGATGGGGAGACAGACACGAGCTAGATTGACAGAGGCAGCAGAGGAGGCCTCTCTTGATGTCTTCTCATCAAATCTCAAGCATCTGCTCCTCACTCCTCCTTTCAGAGGAAAACCCATTCTTGCTATTGACCCAGGTTTGAAAAGCATCAGTTTTTGGTAATGTGGGAATATGAGGAGATACAGCTCTGCACTTAGAATTATGGCACCTGCCTTTTGTAAAAAAAAGTGATCCAGTCAGAGCATTGCATTATTCCAGAGCTGAATTTCAAATCCCTACCTGTCTCAGCCTCCTTTGATATTCATGAACAAGTTGCCATGTGGATTATCTTCTTAGTATATTTCTACCATATGCTGCATTTATTCTAATTTGGATTTGGTGGAAAATGAAATCTCTCAGAATTTGCTCACTGAGTTGCTGGGTGTAAATCATGATCTCAAAGCTGAAATATCTGAAATAATGGAGAAGAACTATTATCAGATGCCACAGGAGCCTGGACCAAGTGCTCTGCTCCCAGGGGCTGTATCCAAAGCCCTGTTCTCCAATCAACTTCTCTGCCACTTTGCTGATGAGACAAAGTGTCTTGCACTTTGTCTCATCAGCCAAGTACACCAAGCAGTGTCTTGGGCAGAGTTGTGCCTTGTCCATTGTCCTTGGAAAAGGTGCAAGCACAGTTTCTGAAACTTTGAAGCAAAATCCATATCCAACTTTTAATTGTCTCTATAGTCCTTGCATGTAGTGCACCATGCTGCTTCTGCTGAACTTCCATTGCTGGATGGAATTGCAGTGGGAAGATTGGAGTTTTTGCTGTCCATTTACACTTTTTATGACTATAACTTAGGACAACAGATTGATCATTCAATGTTTCATTGATTAGTTTACAGAGAAAGGAAAGAGCTACCAGGGGATTTAAGCATGACAACTGGGTTATGTTGCAAGAAGTTATAAAACATTGACACAGGTGATTGCAAAAAATTATCAGCCATAGTTTCATTGCTGAGCTGAATAACATGAGGGTCCAAGAGCCAAAACAGTCTCAGAGGCTCCTATATGGTATGCACTAAGGAACAACATAATTGACCTGAATGCTGAAACCTTCTTTAATTAATGGTCCTAAAAGAATATGTGGACTCCTATGGAGAAAAGAAAGCTCCTTAACATAAAGGTCCCTTTATCTCCTTTAAGTGAGGTTTGTGCATGCAAGCCCTAAACTTTTTAGATCTTTTTGTTTGTGAGCATAGAAAGGATTGCAGTGAAGCTGGATTTTGCTTAGTGACCCCTTGAGTTCACATGCTTTGACCATTAAGACAAAGAACTGGGATTTACTGATCTCTTCATGAGAGGGACAACTGTTCAGTTATTCAGATGCAAGCAGCAATAGATTTTTTATGATATTGCCCTTTTTGAACAGGCTCTTGAATGATTTATTAATTATTCTATTCATATCTAATATTACCTCTCTTTCCTTGTCATATAGAAATTGAGAGCTGTAAGGATGAGCCTCAATTAATGCAGGATTTTCTTTTGTGTGGTGCAAGCATACATTCTCTCTAATGAACATTAGTATTGGACTAAAGTTTGGAATGTATTAGTTGATACCTCTGCATACATTCCATTCAGACAATGCAGATGTTTAGTTTGATTTCAATACACACTTCTGTTGCATGCCATGAGCACTTGCTGGGCAGAAAATTATATTTTTATTGGACAGGGCTTGATGTGCATGCATTGTGACAGTCCATGTTAACTTGGTCATTATTGTCCAAGTTAAAGTATACTATGTGAAGTTTGATGATTTCTCTTAGGATTCAAGGGAGGCTGCAAGCTGGGTTTGATATCTAGCATGGGAGAAATTTTGTATCATGATGTCATCCATCCGTGCTTAGCAAAGTCATGTCCTAGTGACAGAGCTTCCCAGGTGTTGAAGCATGCTCTCACCCTTCATAAGTGAGAAGTGTTCCTCACTCATAATTTTATTTTGCTTTCTTTTCAATTGCAAGTATTACTTATTAAAACTGAAGGTGACATGTCAATGTGAAGATATGGCTGTTCTTTGTAATAAGAAATGGAAGCAGAATGTGGAAGCCATGTCTGAGATATGAGTTGTTTTGGAATGCAGATGTGAGACAATAGCTGTGGGGAATGGAATTGGCTGTCGAGAAGTGGAGAAGTGGCTGTCAGGATTGATTCAAATGGGGCATTTTTCTCCATTGAATGTTTCCTACACAATAGTAAATGAATCTGGAGTCTCAATATATTCATGCTCCAAGGAGGCTAAAGCCGAGTTTTCATCTCTTGATCCTACCCTCATCAGTGCTGGTAAGTTGATCAGCAACCATGGATCTCTTATATTTTCTTTCCAAATTATGAATTACAAGGGGCACTACAAAAGTAACGAGACAAAATTTATTAAAACAAATGTATAATATATAATGTATAAATATCTACTTTTCCACATGGTCTAGTAGTAACATAAGTCATAATATACACTCATTGCCAAAAAAAAAAGCACGACCAAGAAAGAGTTGAGCAATCTTGATTAAATTTGGTACACAAGCTCATACTATCATACTATGAAATTGATTAGAATTCCAAGTGTGTGGGATGAATATTAATGGGGAAAACTTCCAATTAATCAAATTTCAACAGTAGCTACGGGTCATAATAGTTGTCCAAAACAGTTACCTAGATGGTTTTTACAGAAGAAACATGATAGGAAAACTCCTAAAAATGTGCAGAAAAAACAAGCCAAGTTTCAAGATCATGATGAACCAATTCGGAGAAAACTTCCTAAACGCTGGAAGAATTGGGGAGAAGGGCAGTGCCATTGAAGGTGCCAGTTTCCTTTTTCTCCTTCCCTCAAGCTGCTTCCCTATAGGGCTGTTGTTGAAAGTTAACTGCAAGGCAGTGCCAAGATTAGATCTCTAGCAGCAATTCCAACAAGCTGTTAGTGTTTCTTTGATGTAGGGTAACTGAGAAGTGGCTTGAGGGAAGGAAATAAGGAAACTGGTGCCTTCAATGGCACCTCCCTTCATCCAGATTCTTCTGGCATTTAGCAAGTTTTCTCCAAATTGTTTCATCTCACAATCTCAAAACTTTGCTAGATTTTTCTGCACATCTTTAAGAATTTTCCTACCACATTACATCATTAAAAACCATCTAGGTGTTTGTTCTGGATGATTCATATAACCCCATAGTTGCTATTGAAATTGGATTAATTGGTGTTTTCTCCGTTAATATTCATACCACACACTTTGAATTCTTATCAATTTCATAGTATGCTAGTATTATTTAGGCCATTGATTAATGGGGGCAACTGGTTTATAGGGGCATTTTGTCAGAAATGGAATTGTTTTGGAATGTAATTTCACATTATTGGGGCAACCACTATATTGTGGAAAATTTACCCAGAACCAAGAACTTCATTGGTTTCTCAATAAAGAAGAACCCATTGTACTTTGCAATGCCTATGAACATTTTTGAAATTATTTTATTTTTTAATATTAGTTTCTTTGGCAAGGCGATTGCAGGATCCTCTGTCAGAGTATGTGAAAGTAGAACCACAGCATCTGGGTGTTGGAATGTACCAACATGATATATCACAGACCAGTCTGCGTTTGAAACTGCAGTCAGTCGTTGTAGATTGTGTGTCATTTGTTGGTGCTGATCTCAACAGTGCATCTGAAGTCATCCTCCAGTGAGTCTCATTCAGTCAAATAATTGGTTTGAGTTAGAACACTTTCATCATTTGATTGTATGCAGAATTTGAATCTGGTTCATGATACATTGTAATAGGGCTGCTAATTGGTGAAAAATGCAGAGATAAATAAATCCTACTCTGAATTGTACAAAAAAAAGTAAATACTGAAGGATGCGAGAGAAAAGTCATCTGGTGCACTGGCATCCAACAGAAGATTAAGCTGTCTTGTTCTAGGTAGAATAACATGGGAGCATTGTAGATACTTCATTTCCATTAGCTTTTTTTTTGCATTTCTCAAGTACTGACAATAGATGAAAAATGCATAACTCAGCATAAGTAAGATCTTGCTGAAGGGAGAATTAGGTGATGTTTATACTTAAATATGTATAGTGAGTCTTTCTTATGATAAAATTTAACACTTTTGCTCTGGAGGGTGTGACAGAAGTTTTTTTAAGTCTGCGAAGAAAAAAGTTTATAACTTTGAAATGCAAAATGTAAGAGACTTGCTCTTTTTTTAAAATTGAAGTATTTTATTGTGGAATATTGCATAAAAATTTGAAAATTTTTAAATGACATAACATTGCATCCACTGTCATCCAATATTAATTAGGGCTGGACATACATTTATGTCCATTGGATCAAAAGTGTTAGTTTAGCTTTTTGATATGTATGCATGGGTAATTCAAATGAAACCTAGACTTTCTGTCCCACATATGGCAGCAGTGTATGCAGATCCATGTAAAACAGATAGTGTTGATTGTAATTCAAAAGTTCTTTGTGGTATCACCATCTCAGCATCAACTTCACATGTTAAATTCAAGATGGTGTTCAGTTGTATCAGTGTGACAATGGAGAGTGTGTGAACATGATAAAGTTATCATGTTAGAAAAAGTAGACTTGAAACCTGCTGAAATTCATGGTAAACTTGCAGATAAGTATGGTGACACTGCCCAGTCACAGTGAAGTGAAAATGAGTTGCTTTTATGATTTCATTCAGGGAAGCAACACCCTCGCAGTGTTGAGTATCTATTTGTGCCTTCTTCAGTGGCATCCAGACTGAAATCATATGTGTGCCTGAGTGAATAATGGTGGTTCTTTGCATAAAGGCACAGAACATTTCAAAGCTTTATTTAACACGTTGATGACCAGCCTATTTTTGCTTGTCCGCCGCATGGGACCACGCGCATTTTTTTTGTCAAAAAATGCGTCTTGCCATCAGGACGCATGGTCCCAGAAAACATTTTTTTGCAGAGTTTTTTTTAAATGTTGAATTTTTTGGAATTTTTATCAGTAATTACAAAATCATAATCTTCTGGAACGTTCTCAACAGTTCCAGAGGGTATTCATTGAAAAAAAATCTGCATCCTGGCATCAGGACACATTGTCGCCAACGTGTTAATCTTAGGGAGTGCAGAAAAAAAAATTTGTTGAATACTTGAAGTTCCTGAGAGTGTTATTTATGTGGGCACTCAAGAACCTGACCATGTTTCAGACATTGGAATGCAAAACATCTGTGTGGAGCCTAATTATTGATTTGAAAGTAAGGAAAATGACTTCATTAACTACAGGGTGCCCAATAGAAAACCAAAGGATTTATTTTTTATTAAGGAATTATTCAAGATTATTCACAAAGGATTTACAAATATTCAAAATGTTGACTGTGATTATCATGACACCTTCAAAGACGCAGTATCTATGATGCTGTAGCCCTGCAAATGACACATGTATACTTGTCGATAGAAAACATCATTTCGTTGTTAAAGGCGTGCTAATTGCAATCCTTTGGTTTTCTACTGGGCACCCTGTAGTTGAACTAGGCCCCATGTTATTACCTCTAGTTCAGGTCTTCAAGAAGTATATAGGTGGGTAGCACTTCAACAAGAATTACTAAGTGCAAGTATGACCTCCTTAAGTGGCTTCAAGGTTGGCCCTAACACTTCTAAATTACAGATTTAGATGCACTTTTAAAGCAATGAAGCCGTTATATAGATATGGTTCCTTTGAGAAACAGACAAAATTTGTGCATTTACCTAATCCTGTCATGTCACAGTTTGAGAGAGTCCAGATTTCACTTGAGCCACCCTTGCATTAACCTTAATGATTCAACAATCATAATTGATAAGGTTACAGTACTTGGTACTGAATTACAGAACTGTTTAATTGCTTGTTTTTTTATTGGATAGGAAGGTGTCTGGTCTTAATCAAGGGACAGCCAAGAGAATTGTTGAGTGGAGAAAGGAAAATGGGCCTTTCATCAATCGGACTCAATTACACCTTGTCAAAGGGATTGGACCAAAAGCTTTTCAACAGAGTATTGGATTCCTCCGCATTCTTCCTCCTTCCTTACATCCACCAATACCACTGTATTGTTGTTGCCTTTCCAATAGGAGTAATCCTCCTCATATTTATTTTCATATCTTGCCCTTTTGCTAATAGTCATGGGTTGTGCTTGAAATATAGGCTGTCAGCAAAATCTTCAAATAATACAAAATTGATCCAGCCTAAGAACAAGAAGCTTCCTGTTGTCATTCATCAAACCCCAGAGCCACTGGACCGAACATGGATTCATCCAGAAACATATTTCATTGCCAATGGGTATGAAATTTCCTATGATTCAAAGCACCCTTCATATGATAATGAAATGACTTTCATAGGAGTGAGGGTAAGTTTCCATTGCACATGTGTAGCATCATGAAGCTGATAGGAGTTGATCCTGCAGGGATTGGATCTGAGAGCTTCATTCAAAAGGTGAATGCCTTCAAGGAACATGCAGGTGAGTGACTTTTTTTGGACTTTCCTATATCCCATCTTGTTGATCTCAAGGAACTAAGAGTCACTTTGTTCTGTGTCCAAATGGTCATGGGGGATAATCTATTGGTTCTGGATGATACAAGGGGTGTTCAAAAGAGTTTTGCAACTTACATAGAAATTGGTACCGGATGGAAATTATTTTATTTTATTTTTCAATATATTATCCTCAAACTTCAATACATTTATTGCACTCATCTTTCAAGCTGGTAATGCCTTGCAAATAAAAGTTTTTTTTCTTGTGACCCAAACCACTTTTCAACTGCTGCCTTAACTTCATCATCTGTAAATCACCTTCCCTGTTGTTAGGATTTATCAAATGATAATAATAGTCAAGGTAATAGTCATTGGGGGCCAGATTTGGACTATAATGTGGATGGTTGAGTTGTTCAATGCTTCACTATTTAATAGTGAGTTGTGCAAGTCTCACTCTGGGCAATGGTGCATTGTCATGGAGGAGCCAAACACCTTGGGAAAGCTTCCCACACCTCTTCTCCTTCATGGCCTCATGTAATTTTGACATTATTTAGGCATAATAATCAGCTATAATTGTTGTCCTTTCTGGTGGGTAATTACCAGGATTACACACTTGGCATCTCAAAAAATTTTCGTCACCTTTCCAGTTGATGGCTGTGTGTGAAATTTATTGAGTGGGGAAGGACTGGTGTGTTTCCTTACCCTTGATTCAGTTTTGATCTCAGGATCCCAGTGATGGACCCACATTTCATTACCAGTAACCACACGATAAATAGAATAATTGGGATCTGAATTGTAAAGCTCCAAAAGTTCAATTGATGAATCAATTCTTTGTTGCTGATTGTGTGGCTTGAAGTTTCATTGAGCACATATGGCATCCTCCTTTGACATGTGAAAATGATCATGATGATAGTTTCAATACTTCCAACTGAAAGTCCTCTCTCTCTTACAACATCTATCACCTTCATCTATTGGCCAAGAGTGATTACTCAACAGCAGCAATTGTTTCAGAGTTGACTAAAGTTGAAGGTCGACCACACTTTGGGTCATTTGCAAGTGAATTCCAGCCATGCTTAAACTCTTTACACCACCATGCTACTGTGGTATAATGCAGGGCACTCTCCCCATATACACCAACCAAGCATTGATGATTTTGCTTGAGATTATTTCCTTCTAGGGTCAAAAACATGGTCACTGCTTGGTACTCCACCTTTGTTATTTCATAATTTCTTCATCCTGTTAAACAAACATGACTATTTTCATTTATGAATACTTTACTGAAAGGGCTACAATCTTAGGCAGATATTATGCTAACCTTGAGCTAAATATGGCATATATTTGTTTCACCATATGCATGTTTAATATAGTGGAGTTACAAAACTTTTCGAACGCCCCTTGTACTTGGGATGCAGAATGCCCCATTATGAAATGACCCTACACCAATTTGTCTAATATGGTGCATGTAAGAGTAGCCACTCACTATCACTCAGTTGCATTTCAAGGAATAACCAACTAGAGTTCTTGTTACAATACTTTGTCATTTTCATGCTGGGATGAATAGGTGATTCCATGATAAAGCAACCAAGGGATCAAGAGGTAACACCTTTCCATCTCAGATTTTGATGAAATTTAGCATGCACGGTTTTTCTGCCCTCAAACTAAGAAATGTCAGATTTCAGCCTAATTGAGTCAGTAGGTCCTTCAAGGTAATCAAAATTCATCATCACCTGCTAAGCTCTAAAATGTGATATCCCTGTAATTTGATAACTAATTGTGCTAGAGCTTTGATTACCCCTTTAAGCACTAGTTGGGTATCCATGACAGCAATAGTATTGCCCCTCCAGCCTACAGTCGATATATGATTTAAAATTTGGCCTGTGTACTACTGTTGCAGATTTTGTGTTAGATTCATTATATTGTAAGATTCAACAGTCGCATGCTTTGGCAATTGAACCACTAAAGCTCATTCCAAGTGTGTGCCAATACTAAACCTGGTATTTAAAGCATTACAGTGTTAATTCAGTCAAAATCACTCATGAAATTTAAAATTGGCATAATGAGATTACTTGAGCCAAAAACACAATGCTATTTATTTATTTTTATTTTTGGGGTTTCATACTAAATCCAAAGGTAAACATTTTTTCCAGTAAATAACATTGTGTGATTTTTGATCAAGTGATGTCATGTAAATTTTGAATTCCATGAGTAATTTTGAGTAAATTGACACTTCAATCAAGGTTCAAGCATAATTAGTCCTTGAGCACCCTGTAGGATTTGGCACACTGACTCAACTAAGCTGAACTCTGACAGTTCTGGGTTAGGAGGCAGGAGAACTCTGAATACCAAATGTCATCAAACTCTGGGATGGAATGGTGTTAATTTGCAACTTTCTTTGGGTGACTTGTTATGGAATGATATAATACATACTCATGGGATGTTCTTAGCAAAAAAATAAATGAGTACCCAGGCTTTAAAAATGTGAGTTTCTCATGTAGTTCCTGCAAACTAAATCTCCAAGAAGGTCCATAAGAGTCGATCTTTCAGTAAGGAGTGTTTCACACCTAGCATGTTATGCTTCCTTTGTTTCAATGCTTGGGCATGTAAGCAGATGTACACTTACACATGCATGTCCACTTACATCCAAGGGTGTTCACAAAATGCAAGGTTTGTGTTTTCAACTGAACTAATCCCATTTTCAAATGCAGGCCTTGTGTTTTGTGAAACCCTCGGATGTAAATGGACATGTATGTGCTTACACGTGTCTGCTTACATGACAAAGCATTGAGACAGATGATATGACATGCAAGATGTGAAATGTCCTTTATAGGGCTATAAATTCACTTCCTGTAGATCAGTGATGCACAACCTTTTCCCCGTAGAGGGCCAAAATTTAGATTTCGGCTCATGTTTGAGGGGATGGAGGGCTGCAGACCCTCGAACATGAGCATAAATAGGCCGCATATAAATATGGATCTTTAGAGACTGGAGGCATCCAAGGGGCTGCAAAAAGGGTCTCTGCAGGCTGCGGGTTATGCATCACTGCTGTAGATCTTGCTAGGCCTTTCTGTTCTCAAGACTTTATTCTGCTCTAACAGGTAAGTTTTCAAGTGTTTTTACTGCTTATTACTAGGCTTTAGCTTAAAATGGTTGCCAAGGCTGGTGTTTAGAGTTTGTCCAATCATATTTTCCTGTAATGGGCGATAATGTACCATCCCCTTCCTCTCTCAGACATTCCTGGTCTGGCATCAGAATTTGGAGGTGGGGAGCCAACTATTGAGTTCATCTTGCTGGGTCTATCCCAGCAAATAGATGCAGACTTTCGGTCACAGTTTGAGAAACCTCTGTTCCGACAAGGTCTCGTGTCCATGAGACAGATCTCTCCAGGTCATGTTCTGTCTGGTATGTGTTCATGATCGTTGTATTCTCCCATTTTCATCATGATGTACACTTGTACAAACAGAAAATGTTGCTGTCACAATTTCAAAGGTGATTGTGGAATTGAGGCATTTCCCATTTGCAGTTTGAAAATTTTTTAAATTCACATAGTATTTTTAAAAAGAAAATTCTTGGCCACTCCTAGTGGTCAAGAATTAAGAATGCCTGGTGAATGCATTTCCTCCTCTATGTGAGGCCTGCCAGGAGATGCTTTTGACTCCATGCTTCCACTCTCTTCAAATTGTTTGTACCATCTTTGAATGGAGTCCTTACGAAGAAGTTCTGTATCATACATGTATCTAAATTCACACTGGACACAATGGATTGAAATTAGCCTTTTGCTGCCCAGAAGCCATTATAATTCCTTCTGGAGCAACACACAGTCATCTTTACATCTGTGCTTGTTTAAAAAAATGTTTCTTATTTAAGTGCATATTGTAGGTGAAATCTTTTGATGAAAAGCTTTATGTTTTAATACTGCCTGTACTTTGGGGTGTGGCTAGGTGTTATTTCCTCTCTAATATTATCGTAGTGTTTATGTTTTCATCCCACTTAAAAGTGGCAAGCATGGCATATCAAGAGTGAAGAAATTGAAGATATTATTTGTTTGAGAATGATTCATTTTAAGATTTGTCACATGGTAAGAGTACTCTTTGTAATGTTGCTGGAGAACAGTTAGTTATCAGTCTTCTGACCATGAGTGATGAATCTGAATCTGAAACTGATCAGAATCCCTCAAGAAGTGCTCAAAGCAATTGACATACTAGAATACGCATCCAGAATTCAGAGTTTGTACTTGATAACAGTGCACCGAATCTGCAAATATAAAAAAAGGGCACTCATAACCACTCTACATGTCATTTGGCTAAATGAGCAGTCTTACCTGAAAGTATTGTCAGTTTAGTGTCACTAGTTTTTTAATTCTACAGTAGTTTTAGTGCCATTAGTACTTGAAACTAATTTTCTCTAAACATTTGGACACCATGGGGAGTTCTAATGTATCTGGACTGAACGCCAAAAGGATTAATATAAAAATGAATAATAAAGAGTGGTATTGAATGGTATTTTCATTTTTTTGCAGGTCAAGTGAAGAATGTTACCCATTTCGGTGCCTTTGTGGATGTTGGCATGGAGACAGATGGATTGATTCATGAAAGTAGACTCCATCATCTCCCATTTTCCATACAGGTTTCAGACCGGATTGAGGTACGCGTATTGCATGTTGACCAGCAGCGAAAGCGTATTCAACTTGATTTTGTTGCTCTACTCTCCTAAGTTCATCCAACTCCAATTCAGTTATGCCCTTGTGATTTATGAAGCTTTCAGCCATAAAAAAAAACATGTGTTAACTCAGTTGTCATGAAAACTACATCAGGAAGAAGTTGATTACATATATGCTCTTGCACTCATTCTGCAGGAGTATCTGAATTTTTTTGTGGAACTTGAAAAGCTTAGTAAAATAATAATGCCATTTATAATTAAGAATAAGGTCACTCATTACTGCTGACAGTTTGAGAAGTATATCATACAGTTTGTCACTATCTTTACATCAGAAACTACTACAGTCTTACCTCTATTGGAGGGTTGGCACGTTAGCGATATCTATAATGCAGTCTTGCACACCTGTTTGTATGAAGCCCTATTACACCGATTTCACAAAAACCATGAGAGAATTAATGAATATTTCATCACTAGAAAAGTGACTCAGCACATGAACATTCGGCGCCATGAACTCATCTGAAGAGAATCAAGTGAAAATTCCATATTTCTCATTATTTTCTACTTGGTGTGACTGCAGTCCTTTTGTATATGAAATAGCCCAAATATATTCTTGTCAAAACAGCCCATGTGTTGTCATTCTTGCATACTGTTGAGCGGAGAGGAATATACTTAGACTCATTTCACGGGAAGGTCTTACATAGCGAACCTAGCCCTCGATGTGTAAGAATCGCTTTTTATGAAGTGGACACACCCTTGATAATTGACAAACATAGAAAGTTGCCAGTACCATTTTTTTCATGCAGTGCTTGTATCATTCAGTAAACAATTGCAAAATATTTTTATTAAAATTTTTTTTACCCATCATGCTTAGGTCAGAGGTGTCACACATACGGCCCGCGGGCCGGGGTCAGATCCGGCCCGCCGTCTGTTCGTGAAGTTTCCGCTTGGATTGACTGTCGGCACAAATTTTGGTGGAAATTTATGGATGCGGCCCGCAGGCATCTGCAATGGAAAGAATGCGGCCCGTCGATCGATTTGAGTTTGACACCCCTGCTCTAGGTTAAATAGATATATGGTATGGGTCTTTAATGAAACCCCAAAAATTGAAATCTCGATAGACCTGAAATGAAGAACATAAAATGACGGCGAATGACAAGAAACGTCGAAGGAGACAAAACTTCGAATGTAAAAGAAGGTGGAAAAATACCGAAAACAGAACATACGCTTTCAGACACAGTACTCTCCACGGCCATTTCTCCTTTTAATTTCAATCTCTCCTTCCAATGAATGGAGAATCCCACTGATCGCCATCAGTTTGGAAGAGAATCTAAGAAGCTCGTCTTTTGGAAAGGTACAAGAACGACGAGGATTTTTCTAATTTCATGCGCTTATTGTTGCCTTGGCTTTAGTTCAGGACGTCCTCGGTGCCTACAATGCTCTGCTACCGCAAATGTCAGAATATGGACAGTAGATAGCAACTCGCAGGGACGTAGCGAGGAATTATTTTCGGGAGGTGTCTTGTGTGGCTCTTTCAGGCTCATGATATGACGAAGAGGAAGGTGAATGCTTGGGAGGTATGAGAAAATTTTGAAAGCCCTTCTGCATACATTTTGGGAAGACTCCATTTTCTCATATCTATTTCTTCCCGCAGTTTTTGGACGTGTGGACAGATTGGTGCCGCCCTTCAGATAGTTGGCTGGATGAAAAAATCCAATCGATGAAATAAAAATTCTTCAAAACCTTGAGTTCAGCCATGAATTTCAGGTTTTGTAGATGTGGTACCGTAACCAGGCAAACACAGGCATATTTCAAGTGTCTCTATTGTTCTGGCCAGAACCATTAGTAAAGTCTATATTTGGCAGGGTTTGCTGTTCCAAATATCAGCGGACAGTGCAGAAAGCTACTTGAAGAAAATCTGCTTAGACCAGCCTTGAAAAAATTTCCTTAACTTTCACCAGCCAGGCAACATTTTTCCTCATACCGCCCTCTCGACGCCAAAAACGATCAAGGAAAGCACAGGAAGATCAAGGTCAATGTCTGTGTTATTACGATGGGTGATGCTGACTCGTATTCAGGGAGTAGCAGTCTACGTTAACTAATGTCCGCTACTCGCACGAGGAGGGGTTGTTGACTGTTCTTTGTTTTCTTTCACTCGTCAGACTATATGATTTTCATTAGCCAAGCCGTTTTCTTTTCATTCGCCAATCAGCCAAACGTACTCTCCTTGGAGGAGTGGGTATTTTACAAGTCTGTCATAGGTATAGGTCAAACCAAGCACGGGAAACTAAGAATTCCGTTTAAATACATTTTTTTTATCATAAAGCCACGATGAATTTCAAATAGCAAATGAAAGCCTGTACGTGCAGAGAATGTTGTCGGGACACAAGTGGCTGGACTAGTATCCTCCCATGCGAGCGTCTTCCTGTCATGTCATTCTAATCTCAGCTGGTAATTCCACTCGGAGTACCACTCTTAAGCACGAGGCTGTTAGCGCGTAGTTGGATTACCAGCTTCAGGGGTCAATCCTCTCCTCCCTCTGGGAATGCTAAGCGCGATTAATTCCCTTTTGATAAAGGGAAACATTTTTTCTGATATTTTAGAAAATCCCGGATTTTCTAAAATATCACACTCACAACTGACGTTGTACGTGAGGAGGAAAAGTCCAACGGAACGATGGACTTTTACACAACTTCCACCTTTTAAACATGTAAAACTCTTAACCAATACTCCTTCCATCGCTCTACCGGAAGGAGTTCAATTCCAGCTGCAAACCGTTCTTCAAGAGTAACTTTCACTCACAGTCTTATGCAAAGACAATCCTTAACCCATAACAAGAAAGTAGTACCTAGGGCTTCCTAGGTCTCATCCAAGGGCTTGGAGGTGCACCAGGGCAATTTTACTATCGTGTCGCCCTTGTCACCAATTGGGCAACCCATGACATTGACAGAGACTTCAACCCCACCCACCTCATAGTTCAGAATTGCCCCACACTTCGAAAATTTTCTTATTTTCTTCCATGTGAAGAGATATGGGTCAAGGACTTTCCTTGAATATGACATAATAAGTGGATGGAAACTATTTCTGAAAAAAATTGGTAGAACTATGGAAGCAAAATGGCGGGTCACTGAATTGGTTAAGAGTGATAATATTCAAAAGGTGGAACATGAGTGCAATTCTATACATCAGTTGTACATGTGAAACTTTTTTCCCACCCCCCCCCCCCCCCGCCTAAACTCCCGTACTCATGGAATTTTTCTTCATTTCGGGGGTGTCCAGACACCCAGGAAACCCCCCTGGCTACGTCCCTACTTCCGAGGGTTCAACAATGATGGCAAGCGCATGCGAGGTCATCCTCGTACTCCGCTTTTCACATTACGCATATAGAGCACCCACGAAGCTTCGAAAAACGTTGATCGTCGAGCGAAAAATTCTGTGAAAGGTCGGAATTACAGATTCGCATCATTCCTGTCATCGGATAATCCAAAGTTTAGGATCCTTCTTGGAATTCTTCCATGAATTTAGTACGTTGGAACGGGAAAGGACTCCTCATGGATCATGAGCCGGACCCGACGGAAGGATACTCAGCGCAACCGCAGGATTCAGACATTTGATGACGACTATGCAAACAGAGATGTCTTGGTGTTGCGCTTAATTTGGAGTTTAGAATCCCTCCTTGTGATTCCAGATAAAGACCTGGCCATTCCCCAATATAAAGTGTCTTTCGACATTTTAGCGATTCGAGTTTTGTCGTTTCTTCCAGTGCATTCGAGATACTTGTACATTTCTACGTCTAGGCTTTCGTTTTGTCGTGCTTCGAATAGGAGTGGGTTAGAAAAAAAAAACAATTGCCTTTTTTAGGAACTTTTTAAATTTTATTATTCTTTTTTCCTTTTACTCGGCACCGAAAGCTGAATGGAAAAATCTCTGTGAACCTGCAGGTAGCAGGCTTTCAGGAGCTCAAGAGTCAAGAGTCAAGAGAGTTAGTGATATCAAGAGGCGATTTCGCCCACTTCGATATCACGTGTCGAGGTCGAGCGTTCCTTAATTTTAGGGTAGGTCTAACGAGTCGTATGCGTACGAACGAATCTCGTATCATCTACAATACGTAACGTTGAATCATGTAGCGTCGAAAACACATATAGTCGAAAACACGTAGCATCAAATCACGTTCTGTCGAAAATTATCGCTGATATTCAGCTGATATTCATTCATATATAGCATGCAATTACTGCCTAGTGAGTACTAAGTATAATAAGTACAATGCCTGGTTTCTGCTAAAGCTAGCCAATATCTAAATTTAATTGGGAAAACAAAATAGTTCCTGGAAAATAAAAGAAAATTGAATTGATAACTCAGTCTGTATATTACAGTAATTCACATAATAGCAATTTTCATGAAACCTTAAATATTTTAGGTACTGTTACACGTGCTTTTTGTTTTGAATGTACTGGAATTCATTATGTTAGTAACTTGGTATTTGTGGACTCAACTAGCACATTTCACTTTTGATTTTATGCTTCTTTGCCGCATTTGTATCAGGTCACTATGTCACTGAGCCTAACTTTTTATCGGTATTTCAATTAAAGTCCAATTTAACT